AACAATTCTAGGAACTTCGTGTCAAAAGTACTGAAATAAGATCATGAACAAGAAGGTTTTGAAAGTTATGAAATGCCATAAAAGCACAAAGCCATTCTTTCATTCCTTTAATAATGACTTATGCTTCTTCCTTTGTGTGGTCCCTAAATACCATGTGGAGGCAGCTGAGTCCAGACAGACGAACCAACAACAGACAAGGCACTCTTGTTAGATGCTGAGACAATTAGCTATTTGTGTCTAAAATAATATTTATGTGAAATGTATTTAAAGTAAGTGTTCTAGAGTTTTATTTCAATAACACATATTTCAAAGACAGTGAAATGTAAAGGACCTTGTTGTACTGTTTCTGCATCAGTAAAAATGGATTATTTCCCTGGGTTTAATGCATTTGGATATTTACAGCCTTTCAGCCATAGTGGGCAGAAACTTCTAGAAGTAAATTAAAACCTGGACCTTACTTAGGATCCTTAATCTCAGCACCCACTTTTCTTGCAAGCCTTGATCAAAGGTTTTGGTAACTTCTTGTGGCCTCGACTCCCTAGGTTATAGATTTCATGACCCCACCACACGAAAGGACATGCTTGCACTTGACCCAGTAACACAGGAGGAAAGTTAATCCATTTATTATCCCGAGCTCTGCAGCCAGTCAAGGAATGCTCTCACTAGACAAGAAGTGAGTGCAGGCAGTAGCCCCCCTGTAGGCTCAGTCACCTCATTCCATGCATCACATCTTAGTGGCCAGGCAGTGTATTCTGTATAGAACACACAACTTTCGAGGATGGTAGGAAAGAACTGAGCTCAGTTAAAATGTCTGCATTGTTCGCATTTTTAAAATGTCACATTTCTGCATTGTTCTTTTCATTGTAGTGAGAAGGAAGACTTTGGAATTCTGTGTACATTCTCAGAATACCACAGCACAAGCAAATTTATTAAGTATTTGGATTTTCCTCATAAATTCATGACCACTAAGAAAAGCGTGAATCCATTCCTCTGAAGAGACACTCTATTCTAGTCAAATTGAAACATTACTTGACTTGGATTCTAGGAGCTGTCAGCCTGGGGATCTTTGGAACGACTGAAATCTGACTTCAGGGCCTGCCTATTTTCACCACTCTTGGTGTGCTTTCTCCTATTCTCACAAATTATCTTGTTCTCTCACTTTTTTGTGTCCCAGGAGCTGGGCTTGGGTTCCCCACTGGATGGTAAACATTCCAGTGCCCCTTTGAGGGAAGAACAAGAGACAGGAACAAAGGAAAGAGGACTTTGAGGTGCAGTAGGGAAAAGGCATCAGTTGCTGTCACCTCCTAGACCAGGCTACAGTGTTATCTATGTTATCTAGAGTGTTCTAACATGTTAGTGGAGCTAGCAACTCATTTTATAAACATGAGTTCCTATTGTACACAGTTCCTGATCTCTTGTTTTGTTTTTGAGATAGGGTCTCACTGTTACACTAGGCTATCCTCAATCTCTGGAACTCTAGTCATCACCCTGACTTAGCCTCTCCAGAAATTAGAATCATAGGCAGAGATCAACTCAACAAGCAGCACCATTAACTAAATTCTATTTCAATGGAACACTGCTTTTTAAAGCTCTAGGTAAATTTATCATTATACTTAATGCAACCTAAAATAAAATGTGATTTATCTTGCATCCAATATATGGTGTTTGAAATTTATCTTCATTTGTTTCAATATATTAATCTTAAAGATCTAGCACACACAGTTATAATTAACTTATAATTACCAAGACTTAGTTCTTAGTTCATTAAAAACCCAAATCATATGTGCTATACAGAGATGACTTAATATGTGGACATTTGTTTCCTCATTTCCATTTTTGTATTAGAAAAACTCAATTTAGCGTGTTGACAATTTGTCCCTTCATTGGATCAGGGGTATATTATGCACTGGGCACGGATGATACTATTCAATCAAATTAATTTCTAAATACAAATTAACCAAAGGTCACAGCTTGAGGTGAGATGTAGATTGACAGGTTCAGCTGAGCAATTTCCCCAGTAGTCATAATACACCAGGAAAAGAAAAGTGCCTGGATGCTTTGATTAAGGGTTTGTAGACTACAATACAGAGAGACCTCTGGATGGCTGAGCAGGTCTTGGTGTTCTAACTCACGAGGACCACAAAGAGCTGGAAATCCAGGAAGGCAAATAGAGTTAGCATTTTTTTTAAAAAGGTTGGAAGTGAAATATGTAAATAGCTTCCTGGTGAAATACAAAACTACTCTCAGGGATTAAAAAAAATGAGCAATGTAAATACTGTCAATGTATATATCACATGATAGATTAAAGCACTGATTCTCAGGAAATGTCTAGAGCAAATTTGGTTATTTTTGATTGCCATGTCATGGTGGTCAGAGGCGGATAAGCTGCTAAACCTACTGTATGAAAGAAAGAAAGTCCCCTTAAAAATTATCCCACTCCTACCATCAAAAGTGGTGAGGATGACCAGCTGATCAGATCCACTGGAGTGAACTTAATGTGTTCATTCACTCACACAGCACTGCCAACTTCCACCCTGCATGCTTCAGGAAGGCACTATAACATACAGAAACCATTGGCACAGCTCCTGCGAGGTCCAGGGATGGATAATTAACACAGCATGAGAGGGCAAAGACAGATGGCTACAGGGGCTTTCCAAGATGGAGTGAGGATCAGAACATATAGCTGTGCCCAAAGAGCTGAACAAGGCATGCTGGGAGCAGTAGTCATGCCAAGAGGACAGTATTAAGGGGATGCTCTCAGGTCTGAGAGGTTAGCAAAATCTAAACAAACAAACAAACAAAAAAACAAATTTACAGACCCAGTCTCTTGACAAGTATCAACATACTCCATTATAGGGTATCTGCTTCCCAGTGCAACTACAAGTCACAGGAAATAAGAATGGAAGTGAGAGACACTAGCCAAAAGTAAAGCGGAAATAAAAAGGGAAGGGGGAGGAGTAGAGGGTCACATCCCTATGGAAGAGAAAGAGCAGCCAGGTTACCAGCCAGTCTGAAAGGAGCTATGTCACGAGGCCAAGCACTGTGTTAAAGCTGAAGCCCTGGAACAGAATTCAGTGTGTCCCCCAGTGAGCAGGGAGTCTTGCTATTTCACTAGCATTCTCCCCACCCTGTGTAACCTGCCTCCCTCAGAAATTGGTTGACATGATTTACCAAAAGATATTTAATCATCAAAAATACCACTGAACTAAATCATTAAAAATTTACCAAACTATACTGCCAATTCCAGGTTACAGATTGCTGCTCAGGATGGGGGGTTCAGGGAGCTTTAGGAAAAGGCACCTATCTCCTGGAGATTGTAACCTTCCCTATTCATGATTCCTCCTTGTAAGTGACTCCTCATGCTCCTAAAGGGAAATTTAGGATTACCAAGTGGTTTGGGTGAAATCATTTCTTCTGTTTGTTGATGGCTCTCTGTCTAGGGTGAACGGATGTTTGTTCATGACTCCTCAGGAAAAAAATCACACAGGAGAATAGTGTGTCCCTTGAATACGTGGTTGGTAGAGAAGAGTAAGAGTGTTGGGATGCCTCCAATGCATGGAGCCTTTAAATCACAGAGTGGCAATGGCGATGGAGACGTCCTATCTCCAAACCTTGCTATATGTTTTACAGAACTCACCAAGCAAATTAGAAAGTTCTCTGGTATTTTTTTATTTATATCATTATACACCCATTTATTTGGGAGTGTTTCATATTCTGGTTCTTTGTAACCTGGAACTGCCAGTATAGTTTGGTAAATTTTTAATGATTTAGCTCAGTGGTATTTTTGATGATTAAATATCTTTTGGTAAACCATGTCAATCAATTTCTGAGTTCTCTCCTCTACTCCCTCCCCTTCTTCTCTTCCTTTTTTTCTCACTCATTCTCCCAGTCCTCCCTTCCCTTCTGTATCCATGTGTTTCACTTTAGCTAAATTTGTAATTTATTACCACCTTTTTCCTTCTACACTCTGAGATCTGCAACATCACCAATTTCTCAGAACCATTCTCCTCAGGGAGAGGGATCAAGCTCTATATCCTGAGGAAAAGACAAACCATCACACTCGTTATCAACACACGGATGAGGGCCACTTGCTACTGCTCACTCCACTTGCTGTATTATTCCACATGCTCTTGGCCCCGAGGCCTACATTGCTCAGCCTCCACCCCTCCGCATGTACCAGCATTTCCCTGAGGACCAAAGTGCAGTCAGCATTGGGAAAGTTTCATGCTCCTCTTTCTGTCACTGTGATCTGCCTTTACTGGCATGTAGACTTTTGCAATGCTCACTGCACTGTGAGCATCTGCAAGGGAATTTCCTCAGGGAACAAAGGACACATTTCCTAAAGACAGACAGAGTTCCTGGAAAGATATAGTCAGGTGTGTGCTGCCAACTTGTGTGAAAGGTCTGTGTGTCAGTACTAGTGCACACCCCTATCCTCAACCATCGGTGCTCTTTTTAGGAGACACTGAGAGTATAGATTTCAGCATTGACAGAGATAGAGCAAATCACAAGGACATGCTAAGGCCATCAAGAGTACATCTCATGTCATTTTGGTGCAGTGATTTTATTGGGCAAATGCTGAATATTTGTTTAGTTTGTACAAGGCCCTGGTTTGCATCTCTGGTACTGCAAAACACAAGATAATACAACTACTGGACTACTGTCTGTAGGAAACTGCAAAATATAGAAGAGACAAATTAAATGCTATTTCAAAATTATTTCCTATATTTTCCTAACCATGTAATAGCTAGTTTGTTTTGAATCTTATAAAGTGATTCAAAGTACAAATTAGGTCTTAGTTTACTTTCTGACCCTTTGTGAAATGACTGTTTGCTGTGACTCATTTTCACTGAATGATAAAACATGGAACATTTAATCTTCACATACATCTCACCTTTCAGGGAACCCTCCTATCAGGAATCTAATGTTTTATGCACAGTTCCCAGGGCAGGGTGGGGTACCTGTACCCACCCTGGCACCCCTCACCCCATTCTCCTTACCTTTGATTTGCCCTTGCTGTAACAGGCCTTCTTGGTAGCTTCATCACACTCCCACTCCACAGCCTACAAAGAGAACAAATACAAATCTTTAGGGCTTTGAGGAAATAGGAAGGTCCTGGTGGCTAGATCAGATCACTGTTGCATCCCTGTGCCAGCCCCTTCACAGTGGTATAGAATAAGCACCAAATACACGATGTCAAGTTGTGGGCTTGCATTTAACTTTAAAATTAAGACATTTAAGAGACTTGTCCTTTATAATCTGCTTCATAGTCAAAACAGCAGGGCATTCAGATGCAGTTATTGGTAAACAAGACTGGTTACTAGAGGGAAACAACCAGGATAAACACCCAGCTTAGGAGAACTGAATCATTCAAACCCACCATGTGTCATGCATCAACACTCATGGCTAATGCCAGGGAGGACTCTGCATATTCTAGCTACAACATTATACACATACATGACAACCAGTATGATTGGTTCAGGCACAAAGCACTGTGACTATTTCCCTTCTCCACACGGCTACTACCTCTATTAAGAACTATGATATTTAATATTTTTCAAACTTTTCAAACCTAACCCATGCTAATCCAGTTGACAAATGTGTTAGCACATCTATTCACAAAGAGAACCTGTGATACTTAAGATGACAGTGCTGTTTCACAAACAGAGGCAATTCACAAGCTATGCTTGCAAGTCATTTAACACCAGTTTAAGCATGGAAGTACTGTTCTTTTCTACTACTTTCTGGTGTGTCGACTTTCCCATGGAAAGTATTTCTTCTATTTTTTTCATATCTACTTGTTGTAATATTTTCCTAACTACTAAAATTAGATTTCTGAAGATTCAGAGTTACGGGCCAGTGAAATTATTATTAGGAAAACACGTGAGGAACAATCTTGTTAGATTAGAAAGTGTCAAATAATAAACTAAACTCAATTTCAAGCAAAGTAAAATAATATGTAGGAAAATACCGCCTCTACCCCCTGAGCACCAGGTAGAGATGTTTCCCAGTTCTCCAAAATGTAGAAGAATATACAATCAGGCCACTTTGGCTAAACACTGCTGCATAACAGGGAAGTCATAGCAACTGTGTGCCGGAAAGCTTACCCCTCTTGACAAACATGAGACCATGAGAACGTTATCCATAGAAAACCACCCTGGTGTTCCCCCAACAGCAAGTGTCATGTCTGTTTATGATTTTGTGGAATTGAGTCAGTATCGACCTCCAATAAGAGGATATGTTGATTCTGTGACACTTCCTGGGTCAATATTGGGTGGGGGCAGTGAAGGTACAGCTAATCCATGTCTGATGCAAATAACTACCTGGAATTCCATCCTGGATGTCAAGTATTTCCACAAACAGTGAAGACACCACACAGGCAAGAGCTTCACACGCTGCACTGTGACATGCAGATTCAAAGAATGAAAATATCTTCACTGTGAACCCTGTTGGACCTTTATGTGTTCCTTTCTTTACATCTGTTTATAAAAAAATCTCCCTGTGCATCTTTGCTCTTATTTAAATGTAAAACAGAATTGATACACTGACACATTCCTTCAGCAACAAAGAACTGAAGCTTACATTACTAAAGGGGTTGGTGTCTTTTAACAGAAAGAGGTCAAACAGGGATAAGCACATCTGTACACTGGAACGCTTCAGCTGAGGAAGTACTCTCAATGGCTCTTGTTGACTTGGTGATATTGTTAAAAGTTAAAACTTAGGGAATGGAGTGACAGATATGTTAGTAAAGTCCTTTGTGTGAAGCCAAAAGGGCCTGAGCTTCAGTACCATTTCAAAAAATGCTTAAGGAGCACAGATCTGAAGAAGTGGGGCAGGAAGGACCCTGGAGCTGCTTCTCTGATGGTCTAGCCTCATAAGTGAGCTTCAGGCAAGTGAGAGACCCTGCTGAAAAAGAACCAAGACCCACCAAAGTTGGCCACACAAAGAAATGATAGCCAAGGTTGACTTCACCCACACACACACACACACACACACACACACACACACACACACACGTTCATATGTATATACACACATATGTATACCTGCGTACATCTGATTCATGTGCACATCGGAGACACTCAAGACTTAAACACTAATATACATTAGGCCAGAAGGATCATGCGTTTCGAGTCTACCTGGGCTGAACAGGGGGTATGCTAAGCCTGGATGACCTAGTGTGTCCATAAAGCACAGAGCTGAGGATGGAGCTGTTGCCTACCAAATGGGAAACCTGAGATTCGATGCTCAGTAATGCAAGAAAAAAAAGTAAAGTATTCATAGTCTCCTGAATAAGCATGGGAGGTCTGGGTAGCAGGGTGAGCCCCAGGATTAAGGGAGAATATTAATCAAATGCCATCAATGTTGTTAGACTTCACTGCTGCTGCCAGTAAACAAACAGTTTCCCAATTCCACCTGGTGCCCAAGTAGCCTTCACATTCCCAAGATAAATATTGGCCAAGGACCAGGAGTGAAAAGAAATATGATAAAAGAGAACGAGTTTTCATAAATATTTTATTACTTTATTCAGAACACTGAAAAACAGCCACTGCTCACACAAGTTTATTAGATGAGTAGTGAAGCGGTCCACATCTAAGGCTTCTCTTATTTTAAGTAGAGGAGTGACTTCTGGAGTCATTTCACCTCTGTATCACTAGCATGGCAACCATATTCAAATCCAGAATTAATTTCAAATCGTGACTGTTTAGCTTCACATTATTCAAGAATAGAAGGAGAAGGAAATTTTATACTAATGGTAGGATTTTACCAAGAGAAGGTAGTGAGGGAAACATTTTGCTAGGTATTGCAGAGCTGTCTGAGAAATGAGTTGGTAAAAGAGACTTTTCTAGATTTACTTGAGAATTAAGAGCTCTGGATTAATCTAACAACATTTTCCTTCTCATCCACCAAACCAGACTTTGCCTTGTGTGTCTTCTGGCAGCTATGAAAACATGTTTCCACAAGAGAAAACCACAGGGGTTAATGGAATTATCTTGCATTAGATTTGACTTTTCAAAGTTTCTACTCTTTTGTTCCAGTACAGCTTTCTTTTGAGCTCATTTATAATGCCCTTTGTGTAAGGAACCATCTTTGTCGATGAAAGGCTTCTGACTCAAACTTTATATCTAGTCTCATCGAAACTGGTTATTTGTACCTGTATCATTATTTTGGAGCAAAACCCACAATTGGCTTAGGAAGTGTTCTATGTACTTGTCTTCACATTCGTTCTACCTACTTTTCAACCCACTCAAATCTATTTTTCAGGCAGGCAAAACAAATACAAAGGTGCTGTACATTTCCAATCTCAGCACAACTCAGTCTTACCACCTCAATTAAAAAAATAATCTTTACTTTTTTGTTATCCTTTGTTTTTCTACTACAGGAGAGAAAAGAAACATGAATATTCTATTATTCAGCACTTAATATTCAGTAAACACATCAGAAACAAACATAAAACTGTAATAGTGGTTACTTGAATCCTTAATGAATCAGTGATTTTGTAGATAAATCAATCTACATTTATAAAGAATAAGGATTCATACATGTAACCCATTTTTATAAAGGCACATAAATATCTTCTGTGATATTAAATAGGTTTTAAAAGTTTTGCTATAGTTTTTACATGAGACCTCTTTTCATTTAATATTTTACTAATTATCTCTTAAGTGTAATACATGGTTAGACAATGACGGAAGAAAATAGAGAATATTTACATACATCAAGTATTAATTTGAAATAAAAATATTTTTTCAATATCTTGAAATAAAATCATTTCAAAGTTTGAAAAAGTGTTTACTGCAGGATGGATCAGATCACACAGCAGCACACGTACTCTTTTCTTGGTACAATAGCTTCAGGGTGGTGCATTTCAAGTCCAGTGAAATGCTTGGGCATTCTCAATATCTGGTAAGTCACAGTGCTACAGTCACGTCGATAAAGAAGCATACAGGACAACAGAACACTGCTTTTAGAACTACAGACAGCCAAGGATGCACAGGACTTCCCATTGTTTCTTGGAATACAAGGCATGCCTCACCATTCTGCAGGAGGACATGCTCCAGTCATGACAAATGAAGCTGTGATCTCAAGAGTAAGTCAGATGCTGGAGAGAAAAGAGATTGGCTGTTTTTATGGACTTGATGCATACATATAAATCCACAGTTCTCAGAAGTGTATAAACAAAGCTGTGTATTACCACATTCCACAGCAAGAGAAGTTAATTAGGTGGGGACTAGCAGTGGCGGATGCTTTTCATAACAATGAAGAGAACAACATTCCAGGCAGATGGGCCACTGCTCTTTCAGCAGATGGCTCTGCTAATTAGATATTGGCAAAAGATAACATTTTTTAAAAAACTAGTTTAATTACACAGCACCAAAAATTAACAACCACCTGAGGGCTTTTGTTTTTGTTGTGGTTTTTTTTTTCATGTGTTTGCATTTATATTCTTATGTCATGTTTTTCTGTGACACACTGGAGAGTGTTACATTGTCACCACCATTATAAACAAATTGTCAGGGAACATGAGGCCATATCTTTGTTCAAAAGAAAAAAAAAGTAAAACTCAAATGAAACCCAAAGCAAGTGGGGATTTCATGGTGTTTGAATAGATCGTCAGTCTAGACAGCCTTGAATATGGCTGTCTTCACTAGTTACCTTTATTTGTCATTCATGTCTGTTACAGAGTGACACAGAGCTCATTGTGCAAAGGTAAAATATTTTAGTGACTTTGGGAGAGCTGTTTAATGCTCATCATCATCATCCTTATGTCTCATGCTAAATGCAATTGTTCATTTGTCATGTGCATATGCAGGATACCCGCCCTCCTGATTATGGCAAGACTCCAGTTGTGTCCTGTGGGCAGTCTATCAAGATCATGAGGCTAGGAAGGAACTTCCTTGAAACTTCACTAATGTATATGTGTGGTTTGTTTTAATTCTTGCTATACAAACACCAATATGTAATTCACTTATATATCTTAATCTTAGAGAGCCTTTAAGTCTTAAAATATTTATAAGCACTATACTAAGATCTATATTTTTTTTTTCACATAATACCAAAA